GATCCAGGGAAGCCCGGAAGTATTATAGGAATAGCATTTCCTTCGGATTTGCTCCAAGTTTTAAGAGAGCTGTCAGTGAATCGCACGTCGACGGTTTTAATTTTAATTTTGTGAAAGAAACCAACCTCGGTTTAAGCCGGCAGATCCTTCATTAAGTGTTTAATTTGCAGAGATTTCAAGGGCACTGCGTTCTGGCTGTTATTCTAGAAGGAGAGTGAAGGGAGGAACGGAACGAGAGATAAGATGATACATCGATGGAATGATTGCTCCCTGCTTTAAGCTGGTCTGGGTGTCTATACAGCCCTTCTCAGGGATAGCGCAGGCAAAAGCGAAGGGGATGTTTTTCAAAATAGCTCAACCTTGGTTGTCTCTCTTTGAAAACATTGTTTAAACAGTCTCTCTCTCTCTCTCCACGTGGGTGATAATGTAGAATTTATTTGTTATAATAAGAGAAGAAAGACACAGACAGAAAAAGGGAAATCTGTTTAAGTAAACAGTAAAATATATTTACTATAATAATGATGATGTTTACAAGTTCATGTTGGGAAAATGGTATGGATTTTTAAGCAAGCGGGTTACTGACTAAATACTGGCCAGGGCTCTTCAGGGATTCACTACGCTGGTAAGATTTCTGTCACTTTGGGATTAACTCAGTTGGAGGAAGAATCCTTTATATCTTTATCAGATAAAACATTTTATAGAAACATAGTTGAAACTAGCAGTAAGGATGATCGTATACAATTACATGATAACACTGACTGAAATATTTAATTTGGCTGGCTTTTATTACAAAAAGAATTTAACAAAAGAGGCAACTCAGCAATTGGGAGGGGGGAGTGTGTTGATTTGTCACCTTTATATGCAATGCCTGCCTGTGTCCTTAACATTCTCATGTCTAAATAGAGATGCAATGCGTGCATTCCCCCCCCCGCAACTATGATCAGTTTCATCTATACATGGAAAAACAACAATAAGAAATGGTTTTGTTTATTTTCTTTCTCCTCTTTTCCCCCCATTGCAACAGGTTCGGGACAATGGAAGGGCGTCTACAGTAAGTGCACTTTTTTCCCTCTCGTGTCCTTTTCGTGTCTCGTTCTCCTTTTCGTGTCTGCAAAATTTGCTGGGGCTTCCAAACATCGCCTTGTAAACGTTTGAGTTTGTAAACAGAGATGGTGTGTTTCTGGTGTTTCTGCAAGGCTGTTTTGTACTGGACGGCTCGTGGGGCTTCAAGCTTGCTCTCTCTCTCTCTGTCTCCCTCTCCCATCCTCCTGCGGTCTGTGGCTGCAGATCATAGCAAACGCTGATTGTGCAGTTTCTGGGGAGATAATTGCAGGTGAAGGTGCCCATCTTGTGCCTCTCTTAAGCTCTTTCCAGCTAACGAGCAGGATTAGCATTTTAACAGGATAAAGTCATGCCGTGTTTCCCTGTGCAAATGTTGAATCTATCATGTACCAGGGCAAGCACTTCTACTGGTTGGCTCCTCTTTTGGTGGAGATCCAAAATACTGATTGCGCTTGCCCTCTCGCTATTGCAGCCTTTGAGGATGAACTAATGCTCCAACGAGGAGTTATGCTCTAAATGCTGTTGTATCTCCTCCCCTTTTATTTTGGGCATACAGGCCTGCAGCTTGCAATGGAAAGGTGCACTCCTAGTCAATACGCATAGGATCGCAACCAAAGGCTGTGTTAATGACGTTATTGTTGGGTGTCAGTGAAGTGTTCCCGAGATAGAGTGGTTGACATTTATATGATATACTGGAAGAAAGCAGATACAGATAATATTGCTGTCTGAACTTAGGGGAAACAAGAGGTAAAAATAATACGAGAGGGAGGGCTGGATTTCAATAAAGGGGAAAGGAAGAAAGGCTATGATTAGTTCAATGGTTGCACGTATATGTGGCATAATTATATGTGGAGCTTGAGTTCTAGCCTGCTGTCCTGGGATACAATACATTACCTCCCTATTTAGAAAAAAAGGGAAACCAATATAACCATATGTTACTCAACCTCTAAAAGCGATTATTTTCGGCACAACATCTTTCTGTCTCCTTTATGCTTTCCTTCCTTAGCTCTGAGCCATTTACTTTGCTAATTTTAAATCCCAGCCTGATACATCGATCTGCCTGTTTTAAAATCACAATATTGTGCTGTGTGTGGCTTTTGGATGGCTTTAAACCACTAAGAGGGTGACTGGGATTTCCCACATTTCCTTCCTTCCTACTGAAATCCCCCCTTTTTTGCCCTTGCCTCAGTTTTCTTTGGCCAGCCTTAAAACTTAACAAGAAAATAAGCACCACCCTTTCATTTTCTATCCTTCCTTCCTTCCTTCTTCTTCTTTTAAAAAATATTCCTTAAACTTAGCTGCAGCATACTGATTATGAAGCAGAATACAAAAACGGCCTGGTGGATCAAAAGAATTTGTACGGGCAGTTGAGCAGGAGGTGAATGTTTAACGCTTTTGTTCATCAATAACTCCTTTGGCTTTGACCTGTCTGAGCAAGTCGCGCAATAAGGTGAAACGCAGGTCACAGCGTCTAACAAATATGAAAATCTGGGCTATTGCACAAAATATTCGAACGATTCTTTTTTTTAAAATGTTTTGTTTTGTTTAAATTAAAGAAAGCCCTTTCTCCGATTAGTCCTGTCCCAGGCCACCCTTTAATTCCGCTTTCCCCGAGAAGTAACATTTGAAAACGTATATTCTGTAGAATTGGACCGTTTTGCATTTCTTGCTTAAATACTTACTCATCAAAGGGAGCAAGAGTGGGGAGTACCCACGCATTCTTCTCATTAGAAATAAGAATGCCTCTTTAGGCAACTCAGAGAGCAGGTATTGATTCAGAAATCCGTAAAGTGATCCACTTGCTCTTCCATTTCTGTCCCAAGAGCAAAACCTTCTGGAAAGAAAAAGCCACCCCTAATTCCATGAAAAGGAGCAGGTCGTTGCTTAAAAAGCCATTTGCTCACAGATGCTTAATGATATATATGCATACATGTCTATAGATACATATATGTGTGTACATACACATATACATATACATATATGCACACACACGCAGACACGTACATATAATCCCATGCACTCTCGCTCTGATTTATCCCAAGTTGGTTTGCTTAGAATACCCAACAGAGGGAGAATGGAAGGGAGCTGACCGCAAGACAACACAGAGGAACCGGGTCAGCCACAATGCATGAACTTTTGGAATCCTGTGTCTTGCCGTCGACAAAGTAGAAATAATGAAACGCTGGGATATGTTTGTAAATGATTTAAGATGACCTCTTGCCCTGCCCTTCACCATCAACACTACTGCATGAAAACCAAAGGACAGTGGTGTGGAGGGTTTTTTTCTTCTTTTTATAAGGCTCAGATAACCTCCGCAGTTAGGAGAATATTTAGCTTGATGGTAGTGGCATCAAGATAAAAATACAAAAAATAGAAATAGAAATAATTCCATTTAGTTGTTTTCAGAAACGAATAGTTAGCTTTCTCCTATATAAAGGTCCCTTTGCACCAAGACTTTTATTATGGGATTGAAAGGCGGATTGTTTAGATCAACATCATGCTATTGACAAAAAACAAATTAGCTGACAGCCTTTCTTTTTATTGAAAGTGTACAGTTATTATTTGAATGGTGTGTTTTTTTAAGTGCAAGTGCTTTAAATGCTGAAGAATCCAGAGCGATTGTCACGTAGATTATCTGAAAATCCCGTCGTGAGAACTCGTTACATCTTGAAAAAGACCAAAGTCACAAAAATGACACTTTTTTGGTATGCTTTCCTGTGAAATCATTATATTTTTCGAATCCATAATTTCAGACCTTTACCCCAACAGAGAGTAGTCTGAATTCCTCGCGAGCGAGTCGGAGGGATCAGGACGCTACAGTGACGCTGCCTTTGTTACCCACCCTCTGTAGACGAAAGCAAAATGTTATTACGTTGTCTATATATACCCTGTAGAACCGAATTTGTGTGGTGTTTACATAGTCACAGATTCGATTCTAGGGGAATATATGGTCGATGCAAAAACTTCACCTTTCTGCAAATGGTTATAAGTTATAAACATAGAAGATGCTCAAAGACACATGCATGTTGGATGCTATTGCCTCACTCTGGTATACTGGGACATTAAAAAAAATAGTTCTATATTTGTTGCTTATTTTCTAAAAAAAATTACAGTTATTTATATCTCACCATAAACCTGTTCGTATTAATATAATTAGTCTGCAAAGAATTTGTGAAAATGCTAATTGCCCAGTTAATATGTGCTTGCAGATAATAATAAAGGGTGGCTAAAGTAACTTTGATAATACCGATTTCTGTATTCGTTCCCATGCCCCAATTTTCTCCAGATTTTTATGTTAACGTTGGACGCCAATAGAAACAGACGCCTCGTTTTCTTATACTCTGAAAGAAGTCTATGAACAATTTGAATATTGGAATTATCTTATTAAAGCTTTTTTTAAAAAAAAACCACAAACAGCCATTTTTTAAAAAAAAACAGCCATTTTTAAAATATATATATATATATTAGGTTGAACTTTAGAGGTCTCAGGATAGTTTGTTATCTGTATGGAGTTTATAAAAACAGATTGTTTCGACACTTGCAATGTAAATTCGAAGCTAGTTACTTATTGCCTAATTTTGTTCTGCCCAACTAGATGCTGGTAACTTTTGGTTGACCCCTGCCAAACAAAGGCAGAGGAGATCCATTGTACATCATATTGCCCTCTTGTTTGATGTCTTCTTCTGATTTTCTGTCCTTTGCCTGGTTTTCGACGCTTCTTTCGCTCCCCTTGCCTGAACTTAACGCTTTGGCACTTGATTGCTGAAATGTAACCAACTAATGTTTTCATACGATCCCCGAAATTGTAAACTAAAGGGCATCAAAGGTTAAGAAAGTCAGATGAGACAAAAGGCTTTGATTTACCTGGGGGAGGGGGGGAAGAGGGCAGATGGGGTTTGGGCGTGGGTGTCAGGGAGACGGCCATCTATTGATGAATCGTGTTTTATGGTATTCATATCTCCTTTTGGAGGGAGGGAGAGGGGGGGAACCACGCGAATCATCAGACAGCATGTGGGTCCACTTGATTACCCGTATATTATTTAGTGAAATTTGTGGAAATTATGAGGTGCACACACAAATCCGGTGATAAACCTCTCTGCCTCCCGATTGGCTGAGCAGGTCACATGGGCGCCTAACTTTATTCAGTTGACAGCAAGTAGGAGGGCTCTCTGGAAGGAGAAAAAAAGACAACACGAGAAAAATTAGTATTTTCTACCTTCCGAAATTAATGGCCATGAGTTCGTATATGGTGAACTCTAAGTATGTGGACCCCAAATTCCCCCCTTGCGAGGAATATCTGCAGAACAGCTACCTTGCTGAGCAAAGCTCAGACTATTACGGTGCCTCGCAAGGCTCTGACTTCCAGCACCAGGGAATCTATCCACGGTCAAACTACAGCGAGCAGCCCTACGGTTGTAGCAATGCCCAGGGCTCGGCAGTGCAGCCGCGGGGTCACGGGCAGGAACAATCCGGCCCAGCGAGCCACTTCCCCGGGCAGGCTGAGCACTGTCCCCCGCCTCCAATGCCCGCCACGAGGACCTGCAACCAGCAGCCCAGCCTCAAAAGCCCCAACGGGTCATCGCCACCAACAGCAGCAGGAGCAATGAAGCAGCCAGCGGTGGTTTACCCTTGGATGAAGAAAGTCCACGTTAACTCAGGTAAGCATCCCCTTCTGCTACCCACCTCGCCCACCCCACCCCACTCCGCCTCCCCCTTCTTGATTCATTACCCCACCTCACCCCACCCCTCCAAAGTCCTTTCCAGGCTTGGCGACGCGGGTTGAAATCGAGGTAGCCAATTACACTCGCCATAAATTTTTATGACCGGGGAAATAGGCCTCTTGGTCATGTGGTTCTGGGCATGAGAATATTCCATTTCAGAAAGATGCTAGAGATATTTAAAGGTCCGCTGTTTCTATGAGGGAAGGAGGGGGGTTAGTGTGTGTGTGTGTGTGTGTGTGTGTGTGTGTGAGAGAGAGAGAGAGAGAGAGAGAGAGAGAGAGAGAGGGAAGAAAGCATGCCCATCTGTTATTAGCAAATGTAATGGTGTATATAACGGCCACATGGTTACCAGAGACTCCTTTCTCTCTCTCTCTTCCTTAACGCCTAATGAGAAAGTCAAGACTAGGCTATGGGTTTGCTGCTGTTGTTGTTTTGGAGGGTTGGTTGTTAAGCCCTGCCTGTGGTTTGTCTCTCCCCGCTCAGTGAATCCTAATTACACCGGAGGAGAACCGAAGCGCTCCAGGACAGCCTACACGAGGCAGCAAGTCCTCGAACTGGAGAAGGAATTCCACTTCAACCGGTACCTGACTCGGCGCCGGCGGATCGAAATCGCCCACACGTTGTGTCTCTCCGAACGCCAGATCAAGATCTGGTTCCAGAACAGGAGGATGAAGTGGAAAAAAGACCACAAACTGCCCAACACCAAGGGCCGGTCCTCTAGCTCTTCCTCGGCCCCCAGCCAACACTCACAGACTGTCTCCAAGGAGCATCAGACAGACTTGACAACTTTGTAGGGAACTTGGAAGATGGTCCGTTTCAGACCCGGTTGATTCGGAACTGAACTGTCCAGGATACACAAACAAACATACAAACAAGCACCCAAGCAAACGCACATGCCGGCTAAAAGCAGAAACCTGCACGTAGCAGCCAACAACTCCCAAATTGTCCTCATCCTGCTTTAAGGTACTGAAGACAAACCCAACGATATTATGGACTTCGTAGGAATAATGCAAAACAGCACAACCATTCACACTCAAACAAACTCTGCATCCAGGTGGTGAGAAAGTGATAATTATAAATATATAGATATAGATATATATACAGAAAGAGAGAGAGAAAGATAGATAAAAATATTTTTAAAATAAAACTCCTCTGCCGACACACAGCTATTGCACCATTACAAACGGAATCGCATTGTGTTGTTTCGTCTGGGATCTCCAAGGAGAGAGGTTTTTTGGGGTGGTGGTGGAATTGATTCTCTTAATTTCGTTATTTCTTCCTCCCCACCCCCCAATGCCATTCCGGGTTGTGCATTTGGGTAAATCCTAAACCGAAGTCTCTGAAAACCTGTGAACTCTTCCCCTCGTCCCCCGCTCATCTCCGCTGTTACCGTTAATTTTTTTGTTTGTTTCTTAAGGGGAGGGGAAAGCGTTTCCATTCTTCTAACTTTTCAGAAATATTTAATACAAATATGATGTGAAACGGGTTATTTTGTTGTTATTTTTTGTACTGTATTAGCGTATTTATTTATTTCTTGTTTAGGAAAAAGAAAAAGTTAGAGAGACAAACCAAAAAGAGAGAGAGAGAGAGAGAACGCAAGCGTGTACTCTCCCTGCCTTTCAATGTTATTCAGTGTTTTTATCTCCCATAAAAATAGAGATCTTTCTCTCCCCCCCACTCCCTGACCCCGTTTTTTTTAAAAAAAATTCTTCTGTATATAGGCAAATGTTTTCTAGCTTTTAGAGACGAGGAGCAAAGCATTATTATCGTTTTTGAATGAAATGGATTAAAAACGTTTCCTTTTGTTCACGCGTTATACTTTGAGCCAAGGCGGGGTTGGAGGGAGGGGTGTTGTGTGGGAGGAGGGACAGGGCAAATTATAAACAAAAGGAAAGCAAAACGGGAAAAATGAAGTGAATATTCCAAGGGATTTGTGATATGGGGAACAAACAAACAAACAGGGTGGCATGGTGTTTACTATTACTATAATGTTTTGAATTAAACCATCGTGTTGGTTTTTCAAAGCAAAACAGACGAAACAAAAGCCCAGGAATGAACTGCATGTTTCGAATGGAAATTCTTGTGTTTCTTTTTTATTCACACCCAAATAGGAAATATTGGATCTGTTTTAATATAATTTCAGAGGAAGCGGGTAGGCTTAGTGAGAGAAGAATATGCTCTGATATGCTCGGCATGCACCCATGCCTTTTATACTATTGTGTAGATCAACCCAGATTTGGCTTTAAGTATCTGAACCAATGCAAACCTTACATAAACGATGCTAAAACTGCCGTCCCTTCCAATTACAACTTTGGATAGGAACGAAGTAAATATAACACGCCCCCCCCCCGCAATCAGTATGCTAAGTTTCGGACAATTGGAAAAAGAAGAAAGGTAGATGAGCTTGTTTGTTAAGTTCGCATCCCCCTTAAATGAACAGCCATTGCCCGGGCATGTTGATTTCGACGGGAATTCTAGCACAACCCTAGACCTGCCTACTCAGAAGTAAGCCCCGCAGAATTCAATAAGACTGACTCTCAGGTAAGGGTGCATAGGATCGCCAACCCACTCAGCCTACCGAGTGTTGCAAGAGAATTCTGAATCCTAAGAATTGACAGTTCTGTGTTCTAGAATGGGATCTTAGCGTGGTCTGTATTGCTTTCTCCATGCCAAATAGCCACATTGGGTTCATCTTATAATCGCATAGCCCAAGTTCTGAAGGCTTTCCTTGATTAGAAAAAGAGATGGGAGGGGAGAGAAGAAGAGAGATGGATGTGTCTAAATAATAGGACGAGAGGCACATATTTAATGTAGTGGATCATGGAAGTCACGGCAGTTTGGCAGTTTCTTTTGTGCTTTTCCCCCACCAAAGTAAGCCAGCAGGCTTATTTGGAAGACAGTCCTTAGACGATCAGTAGGGCTTACTTTGAGGTATTTAGGATCGGGGTCTTAGAAGGCTGTGTTCTTTTGTGTTGGGTCCTGGAGCCCCTTCTTTGTTCTCTCTCTCTCTCCTCTCTCTATTTAGTTGAGTCTACTTCTCAGACTCTTACGGGGGCTCCCCTTGAATATCTGCACGTCCGTGATATTAAAGATGGATATTCCTGCATTCACTGCGCGTCATTGTCTATGACAAAAAGCGCCCAGTTCATACATAGTGGAGACGTCTTCTTTTCTGACGCCTTCACGTTGAGAGGCTGAAAAGGTATTTTACTGAAGTTCGGGCTAAATTGTAGAAACAGGTTCATCCAGAGGACACGTTTTCCCCCCTTCGATTCGCCGTATTTCAGCCGGGAGGAATGACCTCTGAACCCTTAACCTCTTGGACCTGGAGTTCCCCTTCCTTTTCTGCTGGCACCGAAAAAAGTACCAAGAGAAAAATAAGGCTTGTTGTCAAGACCTGGCCTCAAATTTGGAGATCTAAACCCTAAAATCATTTTTATTTTTTTTAAAAAAGGGGGGAAGCATCGTCCCTAACCCCAGATTTTCACTGTGCTCAGATTTCATCAAGTCCCTTTCGAAATCCTCCTCTCAACAGAAGCTCTAGGTTAGATTGATTTAAAAACAGGGAAACCAACCATTGTTTACATATGGCCTGTGTTGAGTCGTTTTGTCCCATGGAAGCGTGTTGTTTGGCAAAGAGAAGTCAGCAACCCCAGCTTCCTTGCAGTCTAAAGCCCAAGGCAAGACTGCCTGAGCTTCGCGGGGCTTAGTAAACGTCTGGTCCCTGGGCACGTTGATTCGGAAGTAAATCCTGCGTTCAGTGGGGTATTCTCTAGTAACCGCGCAGAGTAATATCCTAGAAAGGAAGTAAGGTTGTTGGTGGTGGGGATAATCTGGGAAAGGGGAGGGAAGGAGAAAATGGATTTCCTTTGTGTGTCTGCGCGTCTCTCCATCCTGAACACGTTTCACTGGGAAGTTCTGGTCCATCGACTTTATTGGCCTGGTCTTCTTCCTTAAACGTTCGCGAATCCTTTGTATATTTACTCAGAAGTAGGTGTCACTGATTTCAATGGGGCTCAATCTATGGCAAATGTGGCCACGCTGCCGCTGAAGATTGGTTTAGCAAAAGGGAAGAGGCAGTAATGCTCCACTGCTTGCAAGGAAACAGTCCCTATTAAACCCAGTGGAACTTGCTTCCGAGTAAACATGTTTCCAGTGGGGCTGTCAGTAGGACAAATTTGACTTCACAATGTAGCTCATCCATCCCCAACACAAATGACGTGAACTGAAGAACGTGTGAAGAAGAAAGGGGTGGGGGCAGAACTCGGCCAAAGTCCTTTTGTAATGTAAATGTCCTCTGGACAAATGTTTGGTTCAAACTCTTAAAGTTGTGTTAGGGGGGGAAAATCCCCTTTGAGCTCTTTCTTCTTCTTCTTGAAGTCTTAAATCTTGGTCGCAGTGATGTTGGTCCACTCTTGAAAGAGAATGATGGAAGTGGGAGAGTATCAAAGGGTTTCTGCTTGATGTAAACATTTGGCCAAAAATGATTTTAAAAGAAAACGACGCACACAGCCTTACCATCCCATTCATTTCCTACTAACTCTTCTCACTTTTCTGGGGGTGAGTGGAGTTGTTGATGAAAGTAATTATAATGATGGTACTTGTTTTGAACTATGCAGAGATCGTCCTGCTACCACACTGAAGATTGTAGGGGAATCTTTTCTTTTCCCCTTGGAGACACAAAGTTGTATATTATTACAATGACCTCTGTGATTAAGCTGCGTTGTCTCTACGGCAGTTGTGACCCTGAGATGTTTTCTAGACTTTGCCAATGTTTTTTTGCTGCCTCTGATTAAAGAACTATTTATACAAATGGTTTTCCGTCTAAGTCCTTTCTAAGCATACATGTTTGACACGCACACACCGAAATAAATACTGGTATTCTATTGTACCTCGATCAAAAAAGCTTTGAATTGATAGCGACCCAAGAGCAGGCGTGCTATCTTCTAATATCCTCCCTTGACATGTTTGCCATCTCATAGTAGAACTCTACAAACAGTAACGAATGAAGTATGCAGCAAGAACCTATCTTATCCTATCCTGTATTGAGAAGTAAGTATCGCTGATTTCAATAGGGCTCATTTCCAAGTAAGGGTGCAAAGGCTTGCTGCCTTACATTGGAAACCCAATTAGGTATATATTAAACCCAATGGGTTCCACAGGCTTGCTTTCAAGTATGTTTGCATAGGACCTTTTATAGTTCAGCCCAAGCATATTGACTCAGAAGTAATTTCACTAATCCCAGCTGCAGTTGCTTCCAAATAAATTTATTTAGGGACACAGTCAGTTTTGGAATGAAACCTCACTGTTTTCAGTGGAGATTATGGCTGATTAATTGTGGATAGGGAAGGGGGGCATGTGTTTCAAAAGCTGTGGCAACCGCCATTTATATTTAAATGTATTTATTTTACATATTTCTATCCCGCCTTTCAGCCAGGCTCCCAGGATGGTTTACAAAAATAGGAGAAAGGAAGGGGGGAAATAAAAACATAGAATAGGTGACAGCATGTTAAAATAGGCTGTGACTTTGCCTCCTTTCACTCTCTTTCCTAAGCCTTTAATATTATCAGATATATTTGACAGTATCCTACTTATTTCAGTGGGACTTACTTCCAAGTTTTCGCCATGATCCCAAAAAACTTGTAACTAATTCCTTAAGTGCATATGCAGCTTGGGTGGCCTTTCTCAGACAGCAGGCCCTCCTCCAATCTCATAACAAGCTGATAGGGATTTTGAAAGCATTTTGTGTGTGTTTGTATGCAAACTCTCCCAACTTAAAAACAGCAATTTCCCTCCAGCTCAACAAAGCATCTAGGTGAGATTAATTAAGCTCTTTGGATCTGGTCCAGTGTATTGAAGATTAGAGTGCCAATTATTGCTAAACCCTTTTAGTCAATTTTTAGGGCGTCAAGTCTCAGCCTGAAAACCCATACTCACTTACCTTACTTCTGAGTATAGTGGGTGGGTGGGTGTATTCTCGGTATGGATATACTGTAAGGCACACAAGTAGCTGTAAGGGTAGCCCAATATCATTATTAAATGTCACAGATGGGAGCCTGAGGATGAAAGGTGATGGTATCCCTAAGGCCTCCTGATGAGCTCATGGCTGATACAAGCTTTGAATACTATGGTACATTGCTCTACACACCACATCTCATATTTGATTGGCAAAAGATGCAAACACACTCCCTCAGACTTAAAAAGTTTGCCTTCCCTGCTCTCAGGTGAATTGCTTCCCAGAAATGCAATCCTATACTGTAGATGTCTTTTTAGAGGTAAGTTCCACTGGTTTCATTTGTACATACTCCCAGGTAACTGGGTAGTGGATGTGTTATAAGTAATGGATTTTAACAGGGTTTTTTTTTCCAGCTGAAAATCCAATGCCTGCTTACTTGGGACATATGTTTAATTGAACACCACTGAACTCACTTGCTTGAGAGTAAACACACACAGAATTTGGATATTAGAATTCCAGCAAAATTAACTAATAAGTGGAATTTATTCTCTAGCTGTGGTTTTTTTTGTTTTGTTTTTTTTTGTTTTGGACTACAACTTTAGACAAGAATCCACAAAACTGAGATGTAACCTACATGTTGCTGAAAAGTATGGCAGAACTCACCTTGGCTTTAATGGTTTTAACAGTTTTAATGGTGCTGGGATTAGTCTCACTCAGTTGATGAATGGAGTAGTTCCAGAATTAATGTGGCTTAATAATGTGCTGGCAACACAGGAGTCACAATCAAAAATGGAGGCCTTCAACACATTGATATCAATTGCCTTCTGTTGTACTTAAGAGCACAATAATAGCTGATCAGACCAAAGCCCCACCTAGTCCAGCGTCCTGTTCTCACAGTGACCAACCAGAGGCTTATGGGAAGCCCACTGATAGGACCTGGTTGCATCAGCACTCTCCCCACTTGAGATTCCCAGCAACTAGTATTCAGAGGCATACCTGCTCTGACACCAATGATAGTACATAGCCCATGGCCATCTTGACTAGTAGCCACTGATACCCTTATCCCACATTATTGCTGCTGTGTTAACTGATAGAAGGTAAGGTCAATTGGACCCATCGTACTTGTTTCTGTGTGATAGGTGGTATTACTATATAGCAGGGTTTCCCAAACATGGGTCTCCAGCTGCTTTTGGACTACAACACCCATCATCCATAGCTAGCAGGACCAGTGATCTGGGATGATGGGAATTGTAGTCCAAAACAGCTGGAGACCCAAGTTTGGGAAAGCCTGCTGTATATGAATCAGAATCATTCTGTGGAGGAATAACCGCCCAAGCTTGAAGTCCACACTCCGCAGATAGAACCAGGCCTCCCCCTTTTTTTGTCCCTAGGAACCTATTACGTATCTTATATTCCTTAGGAATCAATCTGTAGACGACTGGAGCACTCAGAAAGTTCCTGTAGACTTCTAACATGAAAGGCTCCTCCTTCCTTCCGACATAAACACCCCTGACAGCAATAAAGCATTTATCTGTCTAGGAGGTCGATGGCGCTATTTTTATCGGATATATTTTGATTTGTTTCCCCCTCGCTCCCCCGCCTTCTTCCCCCTTTTACACATGTTGACTTGTCTTCTCTTGGAAGAGCAGCCAAAACTGGAGTCCGAAACCAAATCATCCAGCCTGGAAGAATGAAAACAAGGAACCCCCATCCATGTATTGGAGCGAAGTATGATTTTCCCCCCTTTAGACAGGAGAGACTGATGAGGGATTGTTGTGTGTTTGTTTGTTTGTCAGCGCACCGCCACAGCCACGAGTGGTAAAGATTCAGGACACAAATTTACGCTGAAGGCTTCTCAGCTGCCTTGTGCTCCTCCCGTTGCCATCAATTCCAGTTTGTATATTGCCTCGCCGCTAGTCCTTATGGTGCGGAAGCGGGGCGGGGCTGGGGGGGGGGAGAGGCAGGATCCAGAACAAATCCTCTCTACAGTATAGTAAACAGGGACTTTTCAATAGAGCGCCTCAAGTAGCTTCCATCGGCCATGTTTGCCAAAGCTCCCCCCCCACCCCGATTTCTTTTATTTTCTTTCGTGCGTGTGTGTGTCATGAAGATGGTGGTAGCGGAGGAGGTGGAGGAGGAGGAGGAGGAGAGGGTTAAATCTAACCATGTAGACCCAAATCATCTTTTGCTAGGGAAGAGTCACAGCAGACAGCCTCTCAAAGTGCAAGGAAGATGATAAGAATAGATTTTTCTCCAAGTCCTGACCACGTGATGGGCGAAATAATTAATTCAGCGCGTCCCTTAAGAAACACGGAGTCGTCATTAATCTGCCAAGCAAAGGACTCTATCAGACTTGAAAACTGAAGAGATCCCAAGAATATAATATACAAAGGGGCGCAGGCTCTTTCTATGCACACCTAGCTCTTTGGCTACAGCCGAAGGGGGGGAAATTACCAATAATAAAAGAAAGAAAGAAAGCGGAGCTTGGTAGGTACACATTTTCTTTCTTTCCTTTTATATTTCGAAATCCTTAATGAACTTAGCTGTCAAATGTTTGACAAATAGGGGCCCTTCTCCTCCTGATTTGCAACTCTGCCCTAGTCAGAAGCTGTAGTAGGCATATTGGGGGGGGAGAGAGAGACACCCCAATGTTTACTCTTTATTATGAGATATTCTGGTACTGAATAAAGAAAGGATCTTTCTATGTTCCACAGCAGAAGAGAAAGAGAGGAGAGAGAGAGAGAGAGAGAGAGAGAGAGAGAGAGAGAGAGAGAGAGAGGGAGGTCTGGCCAAAAGCTGCTTGTGTGGGGAAATGGGTGAAGATTTACTGGTTGTTTATATCTTACTGGGAACAATGATAGCTGTCAGGGCATCTGCTGCCCCATTCTTAAATGGTGAGAAAAGGCCCTGATCTTCTTTTCAAGCGAGGGTCGTAAATTTTTTTCCCCTTTGCGTCATAATAGAAGGCTATAAAACGGAGTTGAAATTTTACCCAAGGCAGACTTTAACCAAGAGATAATGAATTCTAAGGGCACTCCACCGCCGCCACCCTCCCGACCCGGTTAGGCTATACACTATGGTGCCGTCACACAAAGACGTGGGTGATTTCAGATGTTCCGTTTGGCAATATATTTGTGGGGAGGGATGGCGTTCTGGAACCATTGAGGGGTGGGATACCTGAAGATGGGGACAGTCCCACTGGAGTCGGCATTCAGTATTTTGTAGAAGACACCCAGCCAGTCAGTCTGGGTTTTGTTTTGTTTTGGGTGGCGGGGAAAAGACTCGCTTCAGCAAATGGGAATTTTGATCTGCAGTGCGTGTGTCTGTCTATGCATTTGTGTGTGTACACATAGATAGAACTATACACGCAAATACATAGGCACACATGCATACATATATGGGTGTGTATATCACAAAGCCAAGAGCTATCTTCCTAAGCCTTTAGCTGTTTGGAAATGCTTTGTTTTGTTTCTGGCAAGCGGTGTGGTCTTTCTTACGCGTTACTTGGAAAGCTTGTGTAATAATAATAATAATAATAATAATAATAATAATAATACATATTTTTATTACTTCCGCTATGTGTCAGGACAAAGACAGAGTTTCCTGCGTTATGAGTTATACATTCAAACAATAACACATTAATTCAATTATTCAAAGATGACAAATGCTTTTGGTTTGGGATAGTGACTTAAGAATCAGATTTGCTCTTTCCGAATTCGTCCGCGCGCGCGCGCGCACACACGAGCAAAGTTTATATATATCTTTCTGGTTTGTCCCAGAAAGAACCCCAAACTACACAAGAGACAGAGCAAGCGACACAGACAGAGAGGGAGAGAGGCAAAGAAACTCCGAACCTAAACGGAAAAGGCCCTTTAATGAGAACGCTGATTCCTGCGTATCGCCCAGTATATTTTATCAGTTTGACAATTGCCGGGTTTATTGTTATAAATCATCGTAAGTAATTCCTGGAAGGGTGCGATGCTGATCGCCGCGTTTGTGTGTGTGTGATGGAGGGGTGGTACGACGTGGAAGGGGGAGAAAGAGAAAGAAGGAGGCCCAGGAAGGACTGTAAATCTTCCCATTTTATTGCTCTATGAACATATGCTTGGACTGAAAAAGCCTTAGATCCTTTACCGAAGCACATCTCGGCCAAACTGGGAGTCCCCCTCACCTCCCGCCCTCTCGGTCAGCTTCACACTTGGCTTGCAGCGTTTTCAGCCTTAATTTCGTAGGGTTGTTGCTTGCTTGTTTGTTTTAGCCGCATAATTTATAGGTGGCCCTTCTGGAAGGTGCGATCTGCACCCCACCCCACCCCCCTGAAGATATTTAGAAGTCGCTTCTCCCGCTTCTTCTTCAGCATCCTTATTCCTTTTATCTCTGCTTGATTTTGTTAGCATGTGTTTCTCAGGTTAAATTATTTTTGGAACCAGCTTTTATTTCCGACGCCGTCAGGTTTTACAGCTAGACGAAGAGACATCTGACAGGGAAGAGTAGAGAGCTCCCAATTCAGCTCATATGCTTCGTTCCCACTAGAACCATCGGAGGCAATGGGATGCAATCCTGAGTACCTGGGATTTACCTGGAATTATGTCTCACATTCAGGAGCTTACTCCCCTGTAAGCATGCATGTAGTCAGACTCCAGAAATGCAAAAAACGCGGCTGGATCCTGCGCCCGCAGGTTTTAAGTGACAGCAGATTCTTGAATATGAGTTTCTGCCTGAGCTTTGATAACAGGACTACAATTTATCTCCTCTTCCACCACCCACCCACCCCGTGTGTGTGGTGTGTGTGTGTGTGTTTAAAAAAAGACTGGTTTGCAAAGTCAGGATAAAGCAGAGTAATTTAGATAAATGCTACCACACACTTATGGTGCGTATTGTAAGGTAATACATTACTGTCAGGTTCCCCATGCTTTGGATGGTAATGAAATCTTAGGAGATTCTAGATTAGGTTGGGCGCTTTTATAGCTCCAAGTTACTTTTAGAGACAAAAGAGCTGTAATAGTAATCATCATCATCATCATCATCATAGTAACAACAACAACGCTGCTCAATAATCTGACTTGCTTCGGACATTATTTGTGTGACAAACTCGCGAGATGGTTGTATCTGAAGAAGGTTTCTACACAGACATAAATACAAGCGAGAGTTAGGACAGAGCAGGACAGAGATAAGATGCTTCCCCAACACCAGGAGCTCTCTATTAAGCAATGAAGACAAGGTTGATCTTCAACCTTCATCGTAGACCAAACCCAACTTTGCTGAATTTGTTTGTCCCCTACAACAACAAAAAAGGTGAAAAGAACGAGATTATTCTATACAATGCAAGGGTAACTAGGACAGAGTTACAGCCACCCTCTATCGTCAGTGGATTGTACAGAAATAGCAAAGCAAGGCAAGCCCACACATCTTCCTTCATTATGAAACTATAATAATTATTTTGAGGAGCAATGGGGAACAAGCCCCACCCCTACTATTAACATGAGCCCCCCCCCCGCAATTCGTTTTGATCGCCGGTTATTATAACCCTATTGAGATCCTGGAGCCAAATTTGCTGTGATGTTGGTTCAACTTGCCGCGAATATCCGACAAGGTCTGCAAACCCCCTCCCCAACCTCAACCCCAATCTCTCCCTCCCTCCCGCCGCCGCCGCCGCCCCCCCAACGCCCGATCCTCCTCATCACCATCCCTACCTACTCTGTGAAATAGTTTGCTAAGGTGGTGAAGCCAATGTGGATTTCTAAAGAGGGCTCTGAAAACTACGCTGTGTGTGTGATGCCCCTGGGCACTTGGACGGTGAATGGACACCTTGACTAGAGCAGGTTATTACGACTCGCTCCCCGCCCCACCTGGGAAGGTTTGTGGGTGCCTTTGGCCCTGTGGGTTAGCCCACCCCAGCTCCGCAGCCACCTAGACCGAGGATACACGGGGGAGGATTTACAGAGGATAACCCGAGTGAAAGTTCCAGCCTTAATCAGAACCATCTCCTCTCTCAGGATCACGTGAACAAATATGCTTATATTTTAAGACAGCGCCTCTATTTCTTATTACCGAAGGCTTCTTCGGCGGCTCTTTTTTTTAAAAAGATAATATATATATATATAGCTATAATTGAAAAGATGATGCATATGTGGCCTCATCGCTTGTTATTTACAAACAAAGCAAAACGATAAGCTTGACCAGCTGGCTTTCTTTTTTTATTCCATGGGGTTGATTGTGAAGGATTTTCGAAATTATTATTAAACCTAACGAACTCAGAATCCATTCGCCCTCTTTTATTGGAGCTGCTGCAATCTTGGCTTGCTCTTGAAAAAAATATATTCTACCGGGAATACTGGTCTATGGAAATGCTCGAGCAGACCCGCAAGATCAGGTTTAGGAGTGTATTGTCTGCAGAACAAAGGAGGAAGGATATATCTTCCAAGCTGAAAGCGCGCAATTTCTGACCGAAGAGGACAGTTTTAGGATACAGGTAAGCGACTGCATGAGCTTGAACAAAGATGGAATCCTGAATCCCAGATCCCCTTTTTTTCTGCCCGCCCCCCACTCCCCACCACGGCGGTAATGGGACATGAAATACAACGTGCTAGTAGTCTATAGAACTATATATATATGCATGTATAGACGTAATAATATGTTTTGTTGTTGTGGAGGCTGTAGTAGTAGTAAACTTAGGGCTTTTCTGCGTTGCATTTCCCCAACCCAAGACATCAAGTGCTGGGGTGACCTGGAAGTGGGGGGAAAGCGGGTTTTCCATTAGGCACTTCAAAGGAAGACATATATTTGTGTTCAAGCAAGAAACCAAAAAGTAACAGTTTGGGTTAGGATTCATGACCTATGGCAAGCATCCTATGTATTTCAATGGCTCTAGACTGCTCTGTTAGCCTCGGACTGTCAGACTTAATGGAATTCTCCCTCATTCACTGTGTGTGTATATATACACATGCATATATATATATATATATATATATATATATTATTCTAAACACAACTAGTGGAAATCGTGTCACTGCCTATTGCTTCTGGTGGCTCTTTCTGGAAACGTTGACTCGCCCTTCATACTTCGCGTTTGTTTTACAATGAATTTGCCACCTTCTCTGAATTGTTCCCTCCCGCAAGAAACAAACAAAAGCAAAGTGCTGGGGTGGGGGTACCACTTTTTGTCATACTTCTGAAATATTTTTCATGGCTCCATCTACAGCGGCGTTTCCTAGGGTCTGTGTATCTGCCTGTGTGTGTGAACCATCCCATAATCGAAAGAAATAAGAGCTAGAACCCATCAGAGTTAGGCGCAACCAATCCCACATATGGTAGCGAACAGTGCAGCCGCATCTGCGCAGCCTGTTTACTCGGAAGTAAATCCCACTGAATTCAACGGGACTTACTCCCTAGGTGCCTTTGGGACTGCAACACAGGTGTACCGAGCTCTGTGCTGGACTGCAGCCAATTGCCATCAAGCAGGGCTCACATTATTAAAAATATCGAGTGGGTGGATAGCTCATTTGTCTTTTACTCCGTTTCTTTACATCCAAAGAAACTCGATCCTGTTTAAAATCAGGGGCCTTAAAAGCCACTCCGGTTTTAAATTCACTTTGAGAGCAATCTTGCACATTGAACTCAATGCAGATCACTCCCAGGTAAGTAAGGAAAGGATCGCTGTCTTACTTGGATTTCAGTCTAGATGATTTCAGTGGGAATTTACAACTAGCACTGCGAATGGCATCCCGGTATTCTTGAATCCACAGCATTTGTACCTGGAGAAATCGAACTGATTTCAATGAAAACTTGCTGCATCGTAAGCGTGCAGCGTTCTGCTCATGCAGCCCAGTCTTAATGGACGTTCACTTAGAAGTTAAGTCCAACTAAGTTCAGTGGGACTTGCTCCCTTGGAAGTAATGCATAGCTTTCAGCTCATCGTAGGCTCATGTAGAAAAGGAATGAATAGACACATGATCTTTTTGTCGCTCCCCAACTCAAGTTTCCACCATTCCGCACATCCTACACATAGTGTTAATTCGTATTATTTTCGCTAAACGATGGAAAGGGGAAGAAAGCAGCACTTTGGTAAATGTTCTGCGCTGGTATCTATCAGAAGAGGTTTCGAAGCAAGGGACCTCCCCCCCACGCCCCATTCCACGCACCTTTAGAGTCCCTTTTGCCTCCAAGCTGCGGGCCTGACAAGTTAGTCCGCTGAATCCAATTACGACAAGCGGCATTTCATTTCCTTACGCGGCGGAGGAGTCTCCTACTTGGAACTTCACCTAAAACTTCAATCATCTCTCTCTATCTTGGAGTGGGCGCGCGCTGGGGAATCCTCAGAGATCGGCCCTGGGGTCTCAGCAAATCCCTGACAGCCCTTGGGGGAGAGCTCAGGCTTGTTTCTGGAAGCCGCTTCTGCTCAGGAGGCGCCCAAGGCTGCGGCAGAAGACAGGAAACTCGGGCGACAGTTTGCGCATCAAAACAAACCCCAAACTAGCACGTTAAACATTTGCTTTTGCTTACTCTTTTTTTGTTAAAGAGAGAGAGAGAGAGTTTCCCATCAGCATCTTTCTGCGTTGTCTTATTGCTGCTGTAGAAGGATTCAGAAGTCGATAATTAATTAGACACAAAATGAAAACTTACCACGTTAATCAAGAGCGGGTAACAATGTCTGCCTTTTTTTGTATGTGCAAATAATGATCCTTCAGCTCAGGCGCTTCTCTGATGCTGACCACACCCCCACCCCTTCAACTTAAGCTTTCTTCTTATACTGTACACACTCACACTCACAGACGCACTGCTTATTTCTAATGAACTGCGTTTTTAAAAGGGTTAGGGCGAAAAAAATAAATAAAACCACTTAAAGTTGACGTCCGCCCACGTGGATGTATTATATAAGACGTTTGCTGGGCACAGGCCTTGGAAGACCAAAGACCTGGTTAGAGCATCGTGTGTGACCAGCCAGCTCCACTTCCCCACACACTCCACTTTGTCGGCATAAATTAGAGGTGGCTCGGGGAAAGAGGGAAGGAAGGGGCTGCTTTGCTTCCCAGTTGGGCTTGGAGAGGGATAAGAGAAGAAAAGTTGGAATCTCGATTCCTTGCCAGCTCTTGGAGGGGGCTTCCGCTGGTTGTTCATTAAGTGGTGAGTTATTGCTATACAAGCCAAAGGTCATTTCAAAGGCTTATGCTTGTTAGATATTTCTCTTTATAATGACCCAGGCTTCATCGAGGAGGGATTCCCCCCCCGCCCCCCCACTTGCCCTACCTACTAGCTCTGTTAATGTTCTTCAAAGTTCTTAGTTGGCAGATTTCCGATGCGAAATGGTAACGGTAGCCCCAAATTAATGGCGCGAGCTGCTTTTCTGGGGAGGGAGGGTAGGTAAATCACTCCTTGGCATCAGCAAAATAATAATAATAATCTGGCTGCGACTTGCAGGGAGCAGCTCTCGTGTGAAAAGTGCAGAAGGGCTGCTAAGATTCTGGAAGGGGTGTGTGATGGCCGGGCTTTTCTCCCTGTGACATACCCAAGCTCACTACATCCATACATAATGCATGAGCCTCGGGTTATGGCGCGGGGGTCTCCCTGCTAGCTTTCCATTCTTCGGAGTAGAATGCTGTTGCCTTCGATCCTATTTCCCTTGTCTTCATACGCCTGGTGCATATGGCTTTCTGGGGCGCGGGGTGTACTGGCGCTGGAGTACACCAAACCCGCCTTTTGTGGGTGCTTGTAAAGTTGCTGCTCACGACAACATCTACAATTTTTGGGGAGGTATTTCTTCTCCATTCTCAGCCGGGCACATAGAGATGCTATGGAGTGCGTGTGCGTGTGAAAAAGATTCTGAAAGTTTGAGTTCAGGGCTTCTGCAATTCCTTATTTCCCCAAACGGTTAAATATTAAGGGGGGGGGGAGAAAGGCATGTATGTGTGCATGGATGCGTGTGACTCTGATTCTGTGTAAATTTGCACACAGAGTAAATCCAAAGCTCAGAAAGTTGCCCCAGCACTTTTGGTATAATATTTCAATAAAAAGAAAGTTAGACATTATTTTTAACAAAGAAAAAGAAACCCGCTTAAAACCGTAAAGTCAAAGAGGACTGCAGTCCCTCTGCGCACCTATCTGGGAGCATGTCCTATTGCATTATACATGTAAGAGTGAATAGCTCTGCCTAATATATACATTATTTATGATGCCCCTGGTTAAAAACGGGGGGGGGGCTGGATCCACGGAGTTTTCCCCTTTGTTCCAGGTACATCTCCACGTTTTTTCCAAAGGAATCTGAAGAGCCTATCAAAAGTGTTAGAGATAAAATACAGTACAAGAAAAAACGTAACTGTGGTGAGTGTTTGGTTTTTTTTAAAAATATGGTTTCGGCTACATTTGTTACTTCTCCTTCTCCACGTGAGGTTTACCAGTAGATGATGGATTTTAAATGGAGCAGGAAGCGTGTATTTGTGTGTGTCTGTCGGGGGGGGGGAATCCTAGCAGTTCATCCCCCTAGGAGCACTAATACACATGATATAATGTAACTGACAATCGATTTTCAAAAAATAAATTAAAAAAATTGTTAATATTCAGTGGCCTCAAACAAATACTTGGAGTACATAGATAAAAGGTTATTGCCACGGAGGTTATTTTTTTTGCCTAAGCAGAATTGATATCCTATCATGCCGCTTCAGTAGATCATTATTAAAGATGGTGGTGGGCTAGGAAAAGCCTTTGATGAAGCTGTACCACAAGGATCCTGCTCGGTCCCACAAAAGGCAGATGCCAGCGACCGTCTAACGACATGAAACCAAAGGCTGGAGGAAAATGTAGTCATGATTCCGCATTAGCTAAGCATTTCAAATATCTGGCGTTGAACCCCGTTGGGTTTTAACGTGCTCCGTTTTTTAATGGATCATGCCCCGTTCCCCCAACTCGTGATTTACTACACAGTTAAGCTCGAAGTAGATTTACTCAAGAAGCTCTTAATATGTGAGCATACCTCATCTTTAATGTTAAAATAGCTCCCTTCCCAACACAAAGTATCTTCCCCAAGGCTACAGATGAAGTCTATGCCTATACACACACACACACACACACACACACTGTATATATATGCCCTTCGAGCCAATATACTGAGAGAGCATGACTATGTTGTAGACTGCGAGTTAGTGGAAACAAACAGATGAACAGAAGGAAGAGGAGAAGCATCTACATATCATCATAACGCATGAGCTCCTGTGTACAAGCTCATAACACCGAATATACACAATGCCTCTGCCAGCATGGCGGTGAGAGCCAAAATGATCCAGTAGGACGGTGATAGAATATGGCAGTTATGGTCAATTTACATCCATCACCCATTTCTCTCTCCCCCTCCCTCGAAGAATAGCTCATTTCCTCAGGCTCTTTCCTGGCGGCCGCAGCAGATCACTCGGTTCAACCCTGCATTTCTTCCCAGCAAAGACCCGGAGAGTCCTTCCGTCGGTAGAAAAGGGCTTCTCCTGGACTCCGAAAATACTTAGAGGTTGCCACGGCGCGGTGTGAATATCAGCCTTGCTTTAGAAGCGGGGAAAGCGCCAAAAGGACAACGGCTCGGCCCTTTTATATACTGATCTGCCCTCGCGTAGGCTGCAGGAGAAGGGAAATTTTCTGCAGACTGGGGCATTCTTTTGCCGGTCTCCCCTTCCTACGCAGCCTGTCTTACACTACGCCGTGCCAGGTCTTTCCCCTCCCCCCGCACAAGCCCCCTTCTTTTTCTTTCTCTCTCCTTCTCCTACTTCTTCTTCCCCCCTTCGCTGCTTTCATTCCTTACTGAAGCGTTTACTGCCCTAGCGCCAGCAAGTCATAAATTTTGCTACACAGCACCGTGACAGGTGCATTGATATGCGCAGTGAGAACTCCGGCTGCTTATTAACCACTCCTCCGGCCTCCCTCTCCCTCTCTCTCTCTCTTACTGCTTTTTATTTATTCGGGATCATATTAGGTATTGATCCCCAGCAGAATTAAGTGTAGTGGACGCATTAGTAGAGGACTTGCTTCGTATGAATATGCGGGTTGGGGATCCGATCGAACGCAATTGTCAGCGCCCGGGAACTTGTCAGAAGCGGAGTTTGGGGCTCTTCTGCGGCACGTGGTGTTTTGTGCGTGGTGGTGGGGTGTGTGTGTGAGAGAGAGGGGTGTGTGGAAGGGGGTAGGTAGTTGCTGAGACTCTCATTCTCCGCCCCCACGCCCCGTAGTCAGTTTGATTTGGAGAGATTATTCCTCGCAGTGGATTGAGAGTAGTAGTAAGGGAACAATGGGATCCATTACTCTGCCTAATAGCACAAGGGTTCAGACAAGGTTAACCTCTCTAGATGCTTGCAAAAGGAAATTCGAAACACGGGCACGGATACTTTGTGGCTTCCTTAGGCTCGGGAGCGAATTCTGCTCCCTGCTCTGCCTCCCACGCAGCTTGTAAACAGCTCGGGCCAAACCACTAAGTGCTTGGGTGTTACCTACGAAAAGAACCCCATTGCTTTTAGCCTATGGCATCCTGGCAAAAGCAAAACGTGCCATTAGGGTTGTTGTTGTTGTTGTTTTAAAAGAGAGAGAGGGGAAGGAAAGAAAATAAGGAAAGAGGGAGAAAATGTGTGTGTGCGCGCGCGTGTGTAGATCTAAAAAGATGAGCCACCAAACAGTAGAGCATTGTCCATGTGATTTATGGCCCTTTGCCTCCTTGTTAGGTTCAAGCAGAGTTCACAAGCAGTTGGTATTTCAGAAAAGAAATAAAGCTCCTCAGTTTTGCAGCAATATTCTCTCTGAAGGCTCCGTGCGCTATTTGGGAGAAACCTGGTTTTGGTGAATGAAGCAGGAGGCAGCGAGAGGGTGCTGGGTTGGAATAAACAAAAACAATTCAGGGCAGACTACCAGTGAATTTGTAAATGGCTGAGGGTTGAACTTTCTGATTATAGATGATCATTCGTGAATAAATAAGTGATTCAACGTTATTAGATACATGGAAGGAAATCATGTAACTCCTTATTGGTCTTTCTTCATCTTTGTTAAAAATAAAAAACCCGTATCCTTCTTGTATTTCATGGCATTTTGCAACAAACCGTGTGTGTTTATAGATATAAATTTCTTCTAGTGCTTGAGGATAATACTTCATGCATCTGAAGAAGGGGACTTCAAGACCAAGAAAGCTTATGCCACAATAAATGTGTCAGCCTGAAAAGTCCCACGAGACTTTGATGTTTTTGTTGTAACAGACTAACACTGCTACCCCTTCTAGAAGTGCTCACTATATTTTAGATTTCTGAAGGAGGTGGAATGGATATATGGAATATGTCCTAAATTGTATTTTATTTAAAGTTGCCTTTTTAAAAAAAATCACCACTCTTAGGCTGAAATTAATACTGCCTTACCTAGGAACCATTTATCATTTATCCTAAAAAGGTCTTTCCTCTGAGCGGACATGTATAGGATTACACTGTAAGGAACCTAACTGAAAGAACCAAAATGTGTCCAAACCAACCAACCCACCCAACTATTGTTCTCCAATTTAAAATGCAGGCACCTGGAATGTTTTGTAGGTTAAAGTAAGGGTAGTAGATTATGACAAAGATGAGAAAACATAGTAATTAGGAATGTTTTATGATAATTGTGTTGTGTGATAAATTATGTTGTAGCTATGACATCCATAAATGATTATTGGGGAGTCAGAAAACATATAAGGTGAAAAGAAAGATATCCTATAAATATAAACAATGCAAAACTGTTTGGGGGAGGCTGGTAGTGACAGACATCAGCTTGTCTGGTATCATTATCAGAACACTACATTTTGTGATCATAAGCTGATTTATTCGGATGTAAACATCCAGATTCACGAGCACTCAGTCAGCTCCCACAGAGATTTTAATTTCATAGGATTATTTGGGGACCAAAAATGCAGGGGTTGAAAGCTGTAACCACACAATTAAATAATTGGAAATTGTGCCTTCAGGCTCAAAGGCTTATGAATTGCATCCTTTAGCAAACTTGCTTGAGGGGTAGCGTTTCAGACAGCATTTGGAGCTGACAACTACTTGCTGGTGGTGATCTTAAAAGATGCAATTCAGTGCATACTTTAACTGTTAGGGGAAAGTCCCATACAAACTCAGTAGAGATTCTAAGTAAAACAGGGATGGGATTGGACTGTTCACCACTTACTTGTGAATAAATTTAATTTGAATTAATTCAGTCTTATCTCTGAGGAATGCATTTATAAGTGATGTGCTAGGAATCCAATGATCACTGATTGCAAATGACACTTTTCATCTTTGGAAATTAGGAGTTTCAGAAAATATTTCCTAGACATCTCAGTTCTGAGCACAGATGTAAATTCAACTGACTGGCCTATTAAAAATATACTGTATGCTTCATACACGGCATCCAAACGATACACTGATAAGCAATTATCTATTTATCTATTGAATTCTGCTCCTAAAAGCTTGGGTCTCCATACATTCCCCAATCCATTTTATCTCCAGAATTTCCCTATAGTTTAGTTTGAGATATAGTGGCTGGCCCAAGTTACCCAGGGTGCTTCTGGGTTTAATGGAGAAAGGAACCCAAGTTTTTCCAGTCTAAGCACATAACTCTGAGCACCGCACACATATTTTTATATTTTGGGCCACAGATATGTCTAAGCACACTCATCAGAATCTAGAAAAAAAGGGGGGAAGTGGTTTTTTCCCATAATTGAAGAACAATCCCTTCTTCCAACACCCACAAAATGCAGGTTTTATATACAGCTAATAGTGGAGATCTAATGCTACATAATACAATAATAAGGGATTTCCCCAACCAGGAATCTTTCCTGCATGGTAATAAACAAACAAGAGACCCTTGCAGCGAAAAACCCTGCCCTGGAAATCACTTCTCTCTACTTTAGATAGCTTTTGCGTCAAAACAATCTGCAAGAAACCTTAGTTGAAATATCTCTAAAGACTAGGAGCTAAGGTAGCTGACCTATGTATTTCTTCTTTATATTGCAAATGAAAGTTATTGAATGCCCTTAGTTACACTTTAACTTCGTAGAAATCTTCCCAGGAAAAACAAAGCAAAACACCAAGAGACAGGATTTACAATAGAGATGGAATTTTCTCTGGTTTTTCAGGTTCCAGTTCTGGTTCAATCCATCATGTCACTCCTGGCTCACAAATAGTCGCGCGCATGCGTGACTTGAGGAAAAAATAAAACCCCAAGGGTGGGGGAGTGAAGAGACAAAAAAGGAACAACAACAAAATGTTGGTTAATATTTATACCAAAATGGCAAAGGGATAGAATGTAGAGCCCATAAAAAATGCCTCCGGGAAAATAAAGAGATATATAATAATATGGTAGAAGAAAATAATATTGTAGAAGTGTTTGGTTTTCGAGCACCGTAAAAAAATATATATGCAAAAGCAGTAAGAATTTGAAAGCTAGAAATGAAATCACTTGAACAAACTTATTTTTGTAACAGCTGATCCAAGGTAATTTAGCACGCCAAGCTAAATGATAATTCTTCCTTCTTTGCAAAATACCTGTTCCTTTAAAAAACAAACATCCACACCCATTACATTAGGAATAACATCAGTTTATTGTAATACTAAAATAAAGTTATGGAAAGCCCTCCTTTAACACTCTGTTTTTGGGAAATCAGGGGCAAACATTTCACTCCTCCTCACCCTAGCTGGACAAAGGGAACATTGTACAGAAGGATCTATGCCTTCCTAACTCTTCAGAGACCCGTTTATCCATTACTGTATTCGGCTTGGTTTGGGCATCTCCTTTAGTTGTAGAGTCACCCACCCCCTACATTGTTAGTTGGAGGCCGGTACAATTTATTTCAGAGTTGTACACTTCCAGCTGCCTGTGCTCTCCATCGAGGTGCAAGAGTTCAAAACCCATGCCACTGTGGTATAATGGCTCTGGACCACTCATTTTTTTACACCCGATTCTCGAAACCTATACCTGGAAGAGAAGAAAACCATTGATTTCAATGGATCGTGCACCCCGGTTAACTGTGTTTAAGAGCGGGGTGCATTGCTAATTGTTCTGGAATGCGCTCTTGAGAGAGCGAAGGGAGAAATGGTTGGTTGTATGTAAGCGAGGCCAATGGTGAAATGCACTATACTGTATTAGAGAGCGTGCAAAAACCGTCCGTGGGAATTGGCAGGAGAGGGCACCCAGTTACTTTCTTGCTAGGGGACAGGGAGGAGCAGTGATGAGGGAGAGGGGGAGTCATATGATAGTCTGGGCTGGGCAGGATTTCCGACTAGGGACCAAGCGGAAGAGGCGATGCAAGGATACTGTATGAGGGTTGTTTACCACGTGGTGCATGTGTGAAAGAAACCGTGGGGGATGGGGACTGTGTGCAGGGAAGACATATAAAGGCTACCGTTCTGTGCAGAGTTATGCTACTTCCTGCCACAACAAAATGCTTTTCTAGGGCGCTACGCTAGAGCCGAACCACCCTTCAGAACCCTGGAAACAGGGATGCCAACTTGAATAAAATATGGGGAGGGGGTCGCAGGTAAACCCCGACCCACATAATTGAGCACAAGACATGGCGCGCATACACTGTTTAAATGACAATGTTTATCAACTTTGGGAGGAGGGTTGACTCCCTCAAATATTTCATTGGGGGGGCTGAAGGGAGCTCCTCGGCCCCTAGGAGTTGATTCCTATAGACCCTTACTGGCAGAACGGGTACGAAGATCGTGTGTATGCATGTGTGCGACAAAGCAACTTTCCCCTGTGTTGGGGAGATCGCTCGAATCTCAGAACACAGCTGGACCACTGTTTCTGTGAGCATTATAAATAAGTTTGCACCTGTTCCGAGACAGCACCATGTGACTGCCTTCGCAGAGCCCTCTGGTTCTGTCCGTTTTGTGCACGCTTGAGAAGGGGCGAGGGGATGCACGGATTGCCTCTGGATTCCATCCAAGTGTACACGTGTGTGATTTTCATGGCGAGGTCAAGAGTTCCACACGATCAGAACGTGCCCGAGCCTGTGCGCTTGGCCCTAGTATAGATCATGAATGTATGAAGAGAATCTATAATGGTTCCCGGTTTGTGGAATGCTTCTCCCAGGGAGATTCGCCTGGTGCCTTCATTACATATTTTGAGGCGCCAGGCTAAAACGCTCCTCTTCAACCAGGCCCTTGGCTGATTAATATTCCACAACCTTTTAAATATGTCTATGGAAAGGCGGAGTTATTGTTTTGATGTCTTGGTTTAATTATTTACTCGCATTTTATCTTGTATTTTATTCTGTGAGCCGCCCCGAGATCTTGCAGGAGGGCAGTGTATTAATTTGATTAATAAACAATTAATAAGACTGGTGAGAGGCGTGCCAAATGAGGCCACGGAAGTGTTTTATGAGGTAGCCTTGTGAACATATGACTGGCATGTGTTTGTGCGTGTGGTGTGAAGGTGAAATCGGAAGAGCTTGTGTGGTGTGTGATGGCGAAACTGGAAAGGAGTGTGAGAAGGTGAAACTGGAATGGAGTGTGAGAAGGTGAAATTGGAAGGGAGTGTCTGTGTGTGTCGTGAAGGTGAATTTGGAATGGGAAATGTGTGCGAAGGTGAAACTGCAATGGTGTGCGTGTTTGTATAAGAGGGCAGCTGTTCCTGAGCCCTTTGCCCCCCTAGGTAGTTGCCAACGTGTGAGGAAACCACTTCCCGCTTTCCCCTCAGGCGCGCGCCCTCCCCGCTCCCTCACTGACGGTTGTCTCGTTTCTCTCTTGTCTCTGCGACCCGCCCCCATCCCGCTTCTCTCTTTCCAGGTGGCTTCTGGGGCAGCGACTGGCCGAGGCCCGCGGCGCGAGGGAGGCCAGGCCGCGTGACGGGGTGGGCGGCGGCCCATGTTATTTGAGCGGGCTGCCGAGGCCTTGGCGACGGCGGAGCCCACCATGCAGAAGGCCGCCTACTACGACAACGCGGGCCTCTTCGGGGCCTACGGCGGCTACAGCAAAGCGGACGCCTACGGCTACCCGCCGGGCCCTCCTCAGCCCTACGCCCAGCCCGCCCTGGACACCGACTACCCAGGCTCGGCCTGCTCGCTCCAAGGAGCCGCCGCCGCCGCCATCCGGGCGCCTCCGGCCCACAAGAGCGCCGAGCTGAGCGGCAGCTGCATGCGCCCCGCCGGAGGCGCCCAGGGAGGTCCTCAGCAGCCGCCAGGCCTAGCCGAGCAACAGCAGCAGCAGCAGCAACCGCCGCCTCAGCAACAGGCTCCGCCCCCCGCGCTGCCGTCGCCCTCGCCGCCCAGCAGCAACCCCGCCCACTCGGTTCCCGCCAAAAAGGGCAAAGGCGGGGCCAACGCCTCGGGCGGCTCGGCGGCCACTATTAGCAAGCAGATCTTCCCCTGGATGAAGGAGTCCCGCCAGAACTCCAAGCAGAAGAGCAGCTGCGCCCCCGCAGGTACCCAGTCGAGCTCCACCTCCTGGGGAGCAGCAAGGCCCTGTGTGCCCTTCAAGGGGGTTTCCCTTGGTTGCTCCAGTCTAGACACACCGCGAATCAGAGAGCAAGAGGCAGGAAAGAGAGAGCAGCAGCAGCAGCAGGAGGAGGAGGAGGAGGAGGAGTCCTGCCAAGCGAGGGGCTGTAGCTCCGCTTTGCATGCGGAAGGTCGCAGGTTCGATTCCCGAGTGCCTCGCTCCGCGATGCTATGCAGAGCCGCTGCCAATCAGGGTTTAGGCAATGTCAGGGGTGCCCACTTGAATAAAATATTGGGGCGGGAGGGGGGAGACACCCAGGTAAGCCCCACCCTGCATAATCATTCACAAGATGCAGTGCGCACACACACCATTTGAATGGCAATGTCCATCAACTTGTGGAGGCAGCCCCCTCAAATATTTTATGGAGTTTTTATGGCCGTTAGGAGTTTGCTCCTATAGACAATGCTATGAAGCGGATTGACCCCAGTGGTCTGGGTTTGGGTTGGATGGACCCAACTGGTCACCTGTAGAGCTCAGGGCAGTTCACAAGCTAAAAACAACGTAAAAGCACAAAATACATCAAAAACCCCTGAAAACAGTAACAAAAAAAGCCAAGCCTGGATAGTTCAGTTGGTGTGATCATGGTGCTGACAATGCCAAGGTTGCAAGTTCAATCTGTATATCGGACAGTTGCATATTCCTTCATTGCAGGGATCATCACTGACCACTGGTCATCCCTGGTCTTGCTAGTTAGGGATGATGGCTGGAGACCCAAGTTTGGGAAACCCTGGCCTAGATGATTCTCAGGGTGCCTTCCAACTCTATGGGTCTATGAATCTAATCCCCTTCCCCTCCACCAGCACAGCAAAGGCCCATCTAGTCCAGTATGCTGCATCCTGCAGTGTCTAACCAATGACAATGGGAAGCCTCCAAGCAGCACAGAGCAGCAAGAGCCTTCTTTCGCCACCTTACCCAATAATTGGCAAACTGTTCCTGAACTTGGAGGTGGTGCAGAACCTTCATGGCTAGTAGTCATTAATATGGGTGTACCCAGTCCCCCTTTTTAACTCCCCAATATTGAAGGTAGGAGACCCATCTAGAACATCAGAGACCAGGCTGTGACGTTTATCTGACTCCCAGCCCTGCAAGATACAAGTGAGTTGGAGACATCTTGCTGGTCTTTGGGAGAGCCACGTAAATGGAATGACTTGTCTTGGCAACATTTATTTCCTCCCCCCTCCAGCTGTCATTTGAACGTTCAGCCAGAGGGCGAATTCTGTGCGACTTCAAAGCCTACATTGATGATTTCATATAGAAATTGCACCAGCCTAAAGATTTCCTCCTTTAATATTGCCCTTTCCTTGCCCCTTCTCAAAGAGGTTAGTTACCCAAGTGCATTTAAGGGGGAAAGTCTCATTTAAATAGATGGGAATTGGTTTTCAGTAAGGGTTTTAGTCTGGGGTAGGAAGAGGAAAATCAAATAAAAGTGCAAGGGCGGGGAATGGAATTTGAGAACCTCCCGCTCTTTTGTGATTTCAAAGTTTAGGCTCGCAAGGATCCCCACTGCAAAACGCGTTACTAGAAGTCTTATTTTAAGAGGTGTCTTTTTTATTGGAAGTGTCATTTGTTTAAGAACCTTAAAAATTGCTAAACATAAGAAATATCCAAAAAGTGTACAAAATGCAAATGCACAACACAATAAAAAATGAAAACCGATACAACATACAATATCACCAATTTGCATTCCAAGTGTCCAGCTTTCTTCTGGCACATGCAGTCATCCACAGACCATAGAGCTTCCTTCTTCCCACAATTCCCACCATTTTGCAACTTATCCATGGTGCTTTACATCAGATTCCACGACAACCCTTCTTTTTCAGAAGTTGATCTGGGGAATCTATAAAGCCTGTAATGACGCAAAAGCTATCGTTACCCAAAAGGGAGGGGGGAAACAATGAACCAATAAATCCCCATCTTTATTCTAGCAGGCCGGTCTCTTCTCCAGATCCAGAGTGGACCGACCAACCTCCCTCTGTCCCTCCCTCTGTCCCTTACTTATTGTACTTACTTACTTACTTACTTACTTACTTACTTACTTACTTACTTACTTAGCGTTTAGACCGCTCTTCATTCTAAAAAAACGACAGAGCGATTTACAATAAGCGCGATAAAGCAATAAAAGTATCAAATCAGTTATAACTCCCCCATCACAAATAAACAGTAGCGGTTCATCACCTTCTGTCCCCAAGCGTGTGTGGCCTGCTTTTGGGGACTCTGTCCTCTGAAACCATCTTGGTGGTGACAAGGTGGAGACCCAAGCATTCCTCCCCTTATTTGGCATGCAGAAAGTTTACAGACTGTCTAAACCCGAGCAGTGTCAAAGGTGTGTACAAAATGCAAACGCGCAGTCTAACAAAACGTGTGTTTATTATGCAGACACGCTGACGCGGTCGCAGATCCAACCACTGCGACCTTCTCCCTTGTCTTGAAATGGCTGCTGCCAACTTTCCTGGGGAAGGGGAGCGTGGAGAGTTGTAAACCCGGGTTCTCCCCCACCCCGCGCGCCCGGCGCTCTTCCTATGGGATTCCCCACTTCTGCTGTCCTGCTAGTTAGAGCACCGCCTCGGAGCTAATAAACGCGCCTGATTTCCTCTTGTTAGCTGCGCCAGAGGCGGAGGCGGCGGCGGCTCCTATTGTCTTCCAAGTTTGGAGGCCTGGGCCCTGCTCCTATTTGGGAGCAGCCAAGAGAACCTTCCTGGGCTCTGTCAGGGATCGATCGATTCTTCCAATTAAGTTAGATGATTTACAACTCTCTCATCTGGAACTGTAACTTTCCTAACCCTCTGAGAACCCCGGAGTTGGGAGATCGAACCCCATTCTCATTGTAGACACTGGGCGACAGAGGGAGGGAGTGATGTCCGCAGCTGAAAACCTCGGCTGTAGCACCGCCCGTCTCAAGGAAATAAAATAAAATCCAATGAAATCGAAGGATTTGGGGGAAGTGTCGTTTGGATCACCCTGTCCCTAAATCACGCCTCTCCCGTGCGGATACGAGGCAGCGACCCTCGCTAATTAATGGCAATTGTGCACAGGGAAGACATATCCCGGTCCTTTTCCCGTCCTGTTTCAGTTCGCTTTGAATGTCCAGATTTAACACTTTGGGGAAAGTGTGGAATGGTGGGGTGTGGGTGGGTTACAATTTCAGGAGGAGAGGGACCTTCAGGAAAAAGAAGATCGTGAGCAGCTAAAGATGTTCCACAAATAGAGGATAATACCAAATCGGGCAGGTCTCCCGCAGTGTGGGAACTGCGTGATAATAGCGATTTGTGCGTCTCTTTCGCTCCGCGCCCCACAAAATTGGCACCTAGTCCTCTGCTGCCCCAGAGTGCCAAAGCATTTCCCGTCCCTCCCCCGTCCCTCCCTCCCCCGGCCGCTGCAATGTTAATACTCTCAGGCTTTGTAAATTAGCCAGCCAGCCAGCCAGCCAACCAACCTCCTCTCTTTCTTCTTTCTCTCCTTTTTGGACAGGAGAGAACTGCGAGGACAAAAGCCCCCCGGGTCCCGCTTCCAAGCGGGTCCGCACCGCCTATACCAGCGCGCAGCTAGTGGAGCTGGAGAAGGAGTTCCACTTCAACCGCTACCTGTGCCGCCCTCGCCGGGTGGAGATGGCCAACCTGCTGAACTTGACGGAGCGCCAGATCAAAATCTGGTTCCAGAACCGGAGGATGAAGTACAAAAAAGACCAAAAAGCGAAAGGAATTATGCACTCCCCGGTAGGGCAGTCCCCAGACCGGAGCCCGCCTTTGAGCGGGCCCAACCATGTAGGATACTCCAGCCAGCTGCCCACCGTCAACAGCTTGAGCTACGACGCCCCGTCGCCGACGTCCTTTGCCAAATCCCAGCAAAACATGTACGGGCTGGCGGCTTACACGGCGCCTCTCAGCAGCTGCTTGCCCCAGCAGAAGAGATACCCAGGCGCCGAGTACGACCATCACGCCATGCAAAGCAACGGCGGCTTCGCCAACCCCAATTTGCAGGGCAGCCCCGTCTATGTCGGAGGGAACTTCGTTGATTCCATGCCAGCCTCTGGCCCCATGTTCAACATCGGCCACCTCTCCCATCCTTCATCTGCCAGCGTGGACTACAGCTGCGCTGCTCAGATCCCAGGCAACCATCACCATGGACCTTGTGACCCCCATCCCACGTACACAGATCTCACTTCTCACCACACATCTCAGGGAAGGATTCAGGAGGCGCCCAAACTGACGCATCTGTAGTAGACTGGAACGCGTTCAGAAAGAAAGAGAGAGAGAGGAAGAGAGAAAGAGAAAGCGAGAGAGACAGAGAGAGATTGAAATGCATTCGCGTTTAAATTACCTCACTTTGCCCCTGACGTTGCAGTATTACTTTGAGTATTACAGTGGGTTTTTTTGTGTGTCCCCGGTAGAAGCTAACTATTTCTTGTTTTCTTTGGCGACCGAGTCCATGAGAATTATTTCCGCCCCATCCCCCACCCCTCGCTGTCCTCTTAAATGTTTTAGCCGTTTAAAAGCATGGCAGTGCAATATCCTTAACAAAAATAAATAAATCTCAACATTCCCTCAAGGGAGTAATAATTGGTAACGATGTACTGGAAGGTAAGTTGTAGAAATCCATTAGAACTCGGCGAAAGTGAGTCCTGATGAGGCGTTTACAACATTTGGGACCAAAACGGAGACTTATTTCGAAAGTTATAATTTATAAGATTTTTTTTTCTCCAGTAATGTGAAAGATTGCTTTGGACTTAAATAAGATGTATTTATTATTTTAAGAGGAACTCTTTTTTTTTTTTGTATCATTGATTATTTAATCCTGGTCTTCAATGTATTTATGTGGATATTTGTAGAGTTTCTTCACACCCCCTTTCCCCCTTAACTTGGGAAGATTGATTCAGGTCTTTGGTGACTATACATTTTCACCTATTTAGTATATTTGGTCTGAAATAGAAAGAGTAGTTTTGAACAGTTGTAACAGTGGCTGGTGTTTGTAGTTTATGTAAGGACTAAGCAAATTGTAAGTCATAGATTAATACAAAAACTGAAACATTACACAAAAGAGCCGATACATTTTTTTATTTTAATATATATCTATCTATATATATCACATGTTTATTTATTTCAGATTGTTTGGTATGGTTTTACTTAGCATTAAAAGCTACCTTATATCTCATATATTGTTATATTCTGCTATATAGTGGCCAGTTGACTGTTTGGTCTTTGACCAACTTCTGCATACATAAATTGGTTCCTTCCTATCTGTTGCACACACCATTTCGTCTGGTTGCTTGTTGTTTATAATTTTAAAGTCTAAAATATGCAACACCTTCAGACTGACATTTAGGAGCAATATAATACTGTTGATGTAATTAGGATTTTCTTAGCAGGCTAAAACTGTTGTTTCAGTTATTATTTTTTACTATTATTATTATTTATATGATATGATATTTATGCTAACCATAAATCAATTTTGTACAAGTCACTGGAAACGCGAACTTACTTTTGCTGAACAGGGAGGGGAGGGAAGACGAAGAAGAAGAAGAAGAGGAGGAGGAGGAAGAAGAAGAAGAAAAAGAAGAAGAAGAAACTTTGAATGAAATATTGACAATCAAGTATCTACAAAGGAAAGACTGCGGTAGGGTTTAGGAGACGAAGTCCTTCTGAAATGCTCAGAATGGCTTTCGAGATAGGAAATTAGGTCTATCAATATTTAATATAGTCTTCTGTAGCAGACATTGGTACAATCCTTGTGTAAACTAATGTTTCTGCCCCAAGCCTAGAAGGGACAGGAAACACAAACATCCTCCCCCCCCGCCCCACTCTTCCTCTTTATTTGTATGTTGCATTTAATCTCTTACTGGGTTTTATAAAGCTTTTCTCAACATGAAAGTGGCATTAGGTACACGTTAGAAGCGATACATGCCCATTAATTCAGAAGGAAGCATCCCTTATCGCTTTAAAAAGCACTCAGTTAAGATTCAGATCTTTTGAAGTCCCACAGAACAGTAGCAAAACCTCACTTTTCAGTTTGACTAATAATGCAGCTCCGTCTCTCCACGTCCTATGTTGGCAACTACTGCAATTCTTTTTGTGTGAGAGAGGTTTTTACTCCTACATTTGTGTCTGTCTAGACAACGAGGATGGATATGGATATATATAGTATAACATATGTATATATATATATAATATTCACCTCGTTATCTTTTTTTTAAAAAAATACCATGTTGTTAACTGAGAGAAGAGGGGGGAATGTATCGTTTTGTTAAATCTCACTTTTACCCAAGTGTTGTAGATCTGTAAACAAAACAGAATAAACAGCTTCAAATGAAGAAATATTTTAACCACTTCCAGATCTAAAGTGGCTTTCTATGGCAGTTTCTGTTTCTTCCAGCATTTAAAAAATAAAAAAAATCACAATACAATAACTAATAATACGCACAACTGGTGAGCTGCTACAACAACAACAAAATGATTTTCTAATATGTCTTCCAGGGAATTCCCGGCAACTGAATTGATAAATAAATAGTGCATGTAGATTTTATTTTTATGTTCTTCATGTGAGGGCATATTTCACACACTACTATAAATCAAAACAATGCACAAAGAGTCCAACCCTGTGGGCCCTTTATGGTCTAGTGTGTCACTCAGAAGGCATCCGCTGAGTCTGCGGGACTGGGAGGCCCAACGTGTTATCCACAGCTTAATGTTTTATGGGCTCGACTTCAAATGGTGCCTTAGCTGGCTTGCATTAGTATTCCCTCTTAAAGTCAAGTAAAGGGGACACGATAATTTATAAGCATCGCTGGAAGGGATTATAAACTAACACACACACACAGTTCTGTACATACGTAGAAAAATTGGGATAGCCTTTCTCAAAATATTCATAGCACTCAACTGGCACCCTCTCAATGGGGATTTGAACAGACTGTGCTATACATATATACATTATAGCCTTCCTAAGTGAGTCTCGAAATCATACATTTCAGGGGTTGTGTAGGAGTATATTGTTAGAATTGGCATAGGCCTCCCTTTAAAGCATAACCCAATTACTGGACAGCGACGTCTCCCCTTGGCTCTATTTCTGGCTTCCCCCCCTTGACTCAGGAGGCCAGCCCCGGAGGAACACGCCGAGGCTAAGCAAACTACTTGGCCAGAAAGCCCCGTTGATTAAATTGGCGCTTACTTCCAAGTAAACAGCTGTGGGATCCGTGCCCGAGAGCGAGAGAGATGGAGGAGAGGAGGGACTCTTCATAGAAGTCAATGGCAACTCTCCCACGGATTTTAATGGCTCTGCTTTAAGCTCAAAGACGTTTCTGGCACAACATCCCTTTGGCTTTCGCGCGCATTTCGGATCGTCATAAATGATATACAACCCGTTTCCACACCTAACATAAATCTTGCTCCGTTTAGCTTCCTGAATTGCTGGGGTGTTATCTGAATCAAATACAATGTGCTGTAAGTGGGTCCAAGAATATTTCTCTCCTCCCCCGGCACACCTTTTACAAAGAGTCAACAGTCCTTCTCCCCAGGAGCATCTAAGCCCATGTCTTTTCAAGAACATCAGGAGGAAGGTTGCCTTTAAATGTAACTCATCTTCATTTTAGCTGCGCCAGATTCCTGGCCCACGCCAAGAATGTGCTTTTGGAGGACGCCAACATTATCCCCCTCCCATTTTTCCAATGGTTAAGGTGAAAAGAAAGAAAAACAGGGACTAGGCTACCCTAACAAACTCCCTTCTCCCTTCTTAAGGGGAAACAAAGTCTAAATTTTGCCCTTGATTTTATTGCGTGGCGCGCCTTCGCTTTTAATTTAGACTTACCCACTGCATCCCAAAGTGGTAAACTCGATTGTGGCTTATTGGGGTATTGCATGTGGTGAGAAAGAGGCTATGGCGACAAGGGAAGATCCGCGTGGGTGTGAATGTGTGCGCGAGAGAGCCTGAGAATCAGAGGTACAGCCCCCCCCCAGTTCTCTCTTTAGGGGGGCGATCCTAAGAGAGCTTTCCGGAAAGTAATATTGGGTGAAGTCAGCTGGGTTGACTTCTAAGTGAACTTGCTTAGCATCGGCCCCATAAGTCACCAAGTCACATAAGTCACCATTTGTTTTCCTCTTCATTCCCTTCAGAACGTCATCCACCCCCACCCTCCTTGACTAGGCATTCCTACTCAGAAATAAGTACCATTTCGTGGTACTTACTCCCGGGTAAGAAGCGGGTATGGGACTGAACCTAATGTTTTGACACCCAAGGAGCAGCCAACGCGGATCCGTAGTAGCCTCATGCCCGTCGATTCGGAGGCGATTCGAGGGCTCCGGCTGTTCTAAGCAGGGGAGGAAGGCAGAGCGAGGAGCAAACATTTAGACTAGATTTAGCTCCCCATTTTTATTCGCAGGTATCAGCCGCTCCGAATGGGAGGAGAGGGGCCTTCAGTCCGTTCCCTGATCTTCCTCCTGTGCTTTGATGGGCTTTGATACTCCCACACTTAGGTAAAGAAACGAGGCGCTGCATCTTTCCCGGGTCTCCTTCCTCATTGGCTTGGAGTAAACCCTGTAGCTAAGCAACGTCCGTCGGATAGGACACCACTCGACGGGGTCAGTGGGGGATACGCTTTGCTGAAGCTATTTGCAAGGCGGCGTGGATGATACAGCAGCCTACCCGCCGCATAGGGGCTGCCCGCCTGCCTGCCTGCCTTCTCTCGTTGGCTCCTTCCCCCTCCCCTCCCTCTCTCCCTCTCCAACTGTAACAGAGCTGTGTGCAAACAAAGGGGCCTGGTAGCCATTTTTGCTCAGGAATAATAATGCAGAGGTCGCCAACGGAACAAAGCAAAGAGGCGCCTCTTTGCTTTAGAAGGCCCGCTTGCAAGGCACAAAAGCGCGCACGGTTTATTTGCGGCGTAGCATTTAGACGTTAGACTGGGAGGCCTCCCTTTGTGGTATGGAGGATCTTTAAAATATAAAAATACAGGAAAGGAGCCGCCGGTGAAAATAACTTAAAACATACATAAGGCAGCTCTTCCTTCTCTTTGCCCTCCAGAAGATAGTGCGCACTACAGGGTTGAAGTAGCCAAGACGCGACCAGAAGAGAGTCTTAGGCTCCAATCCTATATACTTGCTTACTCCTGAGTCTAAGCGTGCATTGTTCTGTTCACACTGTTCTAGCAGTAAGCCGCACTGAACCCAGTGAGTATACATGCATAGATCGTGTATTTCGTGCCTTTGTGTACTTACTCGAGAGTAAGGGTTCCTGAACTCAGTAGGTCTTAATTCTGAGTGTACATGCCTAGGTTTGGGCTCTACAAAGCATTTCAGATACTTGCCAAGGCTGATTAGTACTCCTTTCTGATTCATGGAAGGCTGCACTCCGGCGAACGCTTCCTTAGGATCAAGTCCTATTGAACTCCGCTAGGCTTCCTTCCTTGTCAAATACACAGGATCCGCCGACCCGGCTTGAGTAGCACCTAACTAGCATGAAACCCAAGAGGAGGAGGAGTGTTGGAGAGGACCCTGCCTTTCGTATGTTTCTTCTTCCCAATGTCTTTTGGACCGGGACCGGGTGGGTGTGAATGAGGACGTTAAAATCTCTTAAAACAGGCGTTCTATTACTGGGTACAATCCAGTCAAATTTAAGCCCTCTTCCCCCTTTGGTTTCAGGTAAATCGAGGCTGTCCTATCCTGTCCTATACATGTTTAGTCAGAAGCAAGCCCCCTGTTTTCACTGGGGCTTACTCCCAAGTAAATGTGCGTGTTAAGTCCCATTGAACATAGCAGGATAAACAGGTACAGGGGTCGGGCTGCAGAGGAAGATAGCTTGATATTTCTTCGATTTCTAGCATAATAAATTATTTGCAGAGCAATCTTATGCATGTTTACTCGAGGAGTAAGTGGCAGCGTGTTCAGTTAGGAAGGCTGAATGATCGAGACGCAGATCAAGCCATCCATTTATGAACGAAGGTGTATATAAGCCTTTCTGGAATTTCACATCAATTGCAATGGTAACCGAATGTGCGGCTTTATTTGCTGCCATTTGTAAAATAGCTCTGCTTAAATAGACCCTGCAGCGTCTCCTCAGCTTTTCCAGAATTTATTCAGCTAGTCACGTGGCCGACCTCTTGGAAAGAAAGGCGGTTTGAGAAATGAGCCTTTTAAAACGGGCTCCGATCCACCGCGGAGATAAACTGAAGTATAGCCGTGTCATTTAAGATGATTGACATCGCGATCCAAAATCTGGAAGTCAGTTTCACTAAAATCCAGGGGATATACTTCAAAGCAAAGTTGGCTTGGATCGGAATATCACTCACTGGACTCAGGGCTAGTTCGAAGTTCGCTAGTTCGCAGCCAGGCAACTTTGGGAAAATATTAGTGGCATATAATGGGGTTTTGACAGGAGTCTTCATACTTTTCATTACCGAACCAAATTCCTTATTTGCAGCTAAAAGCGGTTTTCTGTAAAGGGTTCACAAGGGTGTTTACACCAGTAATATTATTTCTAAACGCTGTCTTGATTAACACTGGGAATAATAATCAGTTGCATGCAAATGACCACTGGTCCATCTGCAGATTAAATGTGGACTCCTTTCTGGAATTTTTTTCCACGTGCAAGTGCTGTGAGGGTAGTTCTCAGCTTTCTAATAAATCTCTTGATGCTGCCCCGGCAATAAAAATAAACAGGCAAGGAAACAAATCATAACGTTTCTATTGATTCAAAATAAAAGTGACATATATCACCCCCAATTCACGTTTAAGACAACGTCCCCAGTAATTAATGCCCCTCCGTGGTCCTTTAATCAGCAGAAACATCTATATTCATTAAATTCCCTTCTCAAAATAGCACTTATTTTGAGGCATTAGGACATAGACACATATGCACTAGATGCGGTTAGGAGACACCCATATTTTTATTTTTATTTTTAAAAAAACACCGCAATTATGTAGAAGGATGTTTCACTAGAATTGGTGGAACCTAAGTACAGTGGTACCTCGGGTTAAGTACTTAATTCGTTCCGGAGGTCCGTTCTTAACCTGAAACTGTTCTTAACCTGAAGACCACTTTAGCTAATGGGGCCTCCTGCTGCCGCCACGTGATTTCTGTTCTCATCCTGAAGCAAAGTTCTTAACCCGAGGTACTATTTCTGGGTTAGCGGAGTCTGTAACCTGAAGCGTCTGTAACCCGAGGTACCACTGTAACATCCTACCTTAAACACAAAAGTAAAGGTCAGAAATAGGATCGGAGGGTGCTCAGTTTGCATGGGACAGGGAAACATAGAGTCATAGAGTTGAATGGAACCCCGAGGTTCATCTAGTTCAATTCCTTGTGCAATAGGACGAATCCTGCCCACAGCCATCCCTAGG